AATATACTTTCGAAGTCAATGATAGCCTAATACTTAGCCAACTGTCTTCAGTCCTCAACAGTCTAGTAATGATTAGCCACAGAAAAGAATAGACTTTTCGTTGGGAGTTATAAATTATATTAAAATGTATGCAGAACCGACACCCTTGGGTGTGTATTTTATGCGAGGATGATTGAGGGATGAATTGATTGACAGTTTTAGTACTGACTTCAGCTGTGTCTTTACTATCGTAAAAGTCACATGATCAATGACAGCTGGGTCCACTTCCGACACGTACTACAAGACACGTAGTCTCTAAGTTGAATACATGTGTTCTATTTATTTACAATGGAATTTGATATTACTTTGAACACAGAACCTTTAACCATTGACTATTGGATACAGAAGCTTTAACTTATAAACCTAAAGAACCTTTAACTTAAAAACCTAAAAAACACAAAACATTATCACTTTCTCCACTGGCCAAAAATCCTATGAGATATCCATGACTTGATGTATTCAACAATAATCGGTTCCGACAGATCAGATGTTTCCCCAAAGATCGCTTTTGGCAAATTTATTCTTTTAGAAACGCTTGCGATAATCTCACATAAAGCGTATAATGAGTCTGAATTATACTTTGTAATATCTTCAATTGATGTGCCATTATAAATCGTCGGCTTATTATTCCGCTGCTGAATATCGCCATAATTGAAGTTTCAGATGGACGGATTGCGTCGACTGCATATTTTGGCGAAGCGCTAAATCTTTCATCGTGGGTTTGTGGAATAACAGATTTGACTGTAATTTATAACCGAGAGGCAGGCGGTGAAAACTGTTCTGATGTCCTTATTATCTTCACTATCTTCTCCTCGGTGCTTAAATGGGACCTTTTTCGTGTAGTTTTGTGTTTTACTGTAATAGTGTTTGGAAACCTAAGTTTTCTGTGATGGATATTACATCCTCCTCGTTCGTTAACGTAGACCATGAGAAAATAGTTTGATATGAACTGTATTAGGTGTCTGTTTACAGTCAGTAATGTAGTATTAAGATTGGGAAGAAATGAGAAACAGGAACCTTTAGAGGTACTTTTTGTAATTTTCCTCAGTTGCATTGCAATCGCATACCTTTATTGTTTTGTAAAGTAAAAGTAACAAACAAATACAATTGATTACATGCCAGCTATAAACTTTATGAAAATGGTTCATGCTATGTCTATTTTACGTTCGTGTACGTATATCTATAGTCAAAGTCATTATACATGACCTTGTCACATGTGCAAACAAACGTGTAGCTTTTCCCACGTGCTTTATCAGACCAGCTGTTAACAGTGGCGGCGGCATCTGTGTGTATAATAATCAGCTGACGTCATTAGTCACGTGACAGACACGCGCGGCGCCGAGGCCACGAGCAGACGACATGCCATGCGCCTAGCATGATCTGACTACAGTCAGCTGATGGACTAGGGAGTAGGCCTACACCTTACCTTAGTACAACTAGGATGCGAGAAAAACCCTACTTGTTTTTTATTTAAATAAAATTCTTTGTGGTTTGTAGTCAATACAAAAATTTGATAAAACTATGCATGGACTTTTTGACACTGAAGTAGACACCACATTTATTTGGAGCAGCTGTAGCCAATGTTTATTCAAATAGAACATTATTAAATGAGCCACTAGTGAAGTGCAATTACTGTCAACATTGTATTTCCTCCCTCACTATGACTCATAGTTACTGTATATTTTAACCATAATTGATGCGACATAAAAGGTGCTGATGTTTACAAAAAGTTGTAATGTAATTATGGTTTATTTCAAAACATTGAGTATTCAACAGGAGTGGGTTATCGACGTAAGTGAACTCTGTCGGGTCAGTAGCCCAATCCAACTAAGTAATTTTTTTTTCGAAAGTCGGTTACTGTTTAAAAATGCGAATCCAATGTCTATAGTCAAAGCCATAACTCACGGACATTAATAATCTAATAATCTGAAACCATCGCCGTCATCATGCAGGCTAATGAAAATATAGTTAAGAAGACAGCCAGCCGTGGAGAAAAAGTGGGTCTAAGTAAAAAGCCGCGAGTCGAAAAAGAAGTAGAGTGGGAAAAAGTGTCAGTTTAAGGCACCAGAAGTCAAAGAAGAACACTTTTGGACTTGAGCAAACATCAACTTCCGTTACAAAATGGTTTCCAAGATAAGATCAGACAACTATGTGATATGATCACGAAGATTACCAGATCACTTCATGTAATCAACCTGAGTGCGAGGTAAGCTGAATGAGGAACGTTTTCCTGTCGTGCGATCGTATCAAGATGGGCCAAACTTGATATTCAAGTTGATTAGTCACGCTCTGCTTTGTAAAACAGCAAATGGGAAGGCGGGTATAATCTTTGTATACGATATTCCTTTGGACCCCTTAAATATCGGCTTGATAATAGATATATACACTGCCATCGAGAAGTAGATATTTCATTTTCGTGTTGAAAGCTGTCAAATTCAAAATTTTAAGCATCCAAACTACGAGGATGACTTAAACTATCATAGCATAAATAATTTATTAGTTGCACACGTTGAGTGGTATTTTCTCGTTGAGTAAAAATACCCGGCTACAAGTAATCTATAGTTGGAAAGCATAGCATATTTTAGTAATCACAGTATTCTGCTAAAAGTTACAGTTGCTGTTAATTTGATTATAACTTGTTGGATCAAAACAGCATCTAAATATGGAGTCGATTTTCTAAAAAATATACCATATATTTTTTTAAATTATCCATAACGGATTTTAACTTATGGATACCTCAAGTTAAGTTTTTACAGCCATAAATATCCTTTTCCATTTAATCGTTCAAAGGTTGCTGGTTCAATGCCGAGTGGGATTCACTCCAGATGCCATTCAACATTGGACTCTATACTAATGTACAATAAAACAATAATTGTCCAAGTTAGAAGTTGGATAGTAAAAAGAGCTGATTTTGCACCGCCTCCTTAAAAGTCAGAAGATAGTAGAGTTGTTAAACAAACAAACGGTTCTAAAGATGCTTGATCTACACATGTATGTTACATCGTTTCCTATTTATTCTTCTGCTATTTGCTGACTCTTGTAACCAGACAGACGTCCGCCGACCTTCAGATGACCTTGGAGCTGGAGTGACCATCAACATCAACAACAGTGACCTTCTTCTGGACTCCTGGAATCTTCTTCCGTCTACAAATCACAACTCGCACCACACAGAACTACTACCACCATTGGCAACCTATACAGGGTGATTTGTACTCAGTGTGACAATTTTTTTTTGTGTAAGTACAAAGTAAATGAAGTGTGATGATGCATATCAAATGTTCCAAGTCTAAAAATTAGCTTCCCAAAAAATTATTTCATGTTTTTCATAAATAACCATGTTTTTAAACTTAATACAGCGATTTCTCAATTACCTGTATATGGATTTGAGTAGATAATGCAATTTTCGTGTTCTACATTAAATTTTGAACAAGAATAATAGAAAATGACGGAGGATCAGTTGTAAAAACTCCATTGTAAATAGATTCAAAGATAAAAATTAAGATATTTGATAAACATTTTAAAAACAATGGTCTATTGCATTTTTCACACCCTGTATACAAGAAAGTGTCGGAATATGTTAAAAACAGCGCCATTTTATAAGCTTTCCAACCATATGCTACACTATTGAGGTTTAGATATTTTTTTTGTTTGTTTTAGTGGTTTGAATACCAGAAAACAGGGAACTTTTTTACCGTTTTTACTGTTCAAGCTAAAACAAAAATACAACTTTTGCTTAATACATGCCGGCTGTCTATGTTTTAAATGTTAAAGACACCATGCTTTGTAGTCTTCAAACCATTAAAGCGTACATAAGCAGACATATACCTCAATAGTGTAGCATATCGTTGGAAAGCTTATAAAATGGCGCAGTTTTTAACATATTCCGACACTTTCTTGTATACAGGGTGTGAAAAATGCAATAGACCATTGTTTTTAAAATCTTTATCAAACATCTTAATTTTTATCTTTGAATCTATTTATAATGGAGTTTTTACAACTGATCCTCCGTCATTTTCTATTATTCTTGTTCAAAATTTAATGTAGAACACGAAAATTGCATTATCTACTCAAATCCATATACAGGTAATTGAGAAATCGCTGTATTAAGTTTAAAAACATGGTTATTTATGAAAAATATGAAATAATTTTTTGGGAAGCTAATTTTTAGACTTGGAACATTTGATATGCATCATCACACTTCATTTACTTTGTACTTACACCAAAAAAAATTTGTCACACTGAGTACAAATCACCCTGTATAGAAGTGATAGAAACATCAGTTAATTAATATAATTAGACTTTTCATTTCAATGTTAAAGCTTCCAGTTGTACGATGCGGGGAAGTCCACTTCAGCTCATTAATGGTCCATAATCTGTGCCTAAAGTCAATGGTGTCGTGGTGATAAAATAAATCATAGTTGGTTGTATCTACTTTTGTAATAAGTCTTCAGTCTTCGTCTAAAGATATTTTCACTCATTTTGAGGAGAGAACAATTGGTTAGTGTTAACCGTTATAATTTAAAACCCTTACAATTTAATGGCTTATGCGTTTTCTGATGTACAATAGGTGCATTGTTTAGCTCGTCTATTCAAAAAACTTTGTATGAACAGGTACATACAACATTTATAAACTCATTTATAAACATTTACATTTATAAATTCTGGCTGGTTTGTTGAATTATGCCTGTAAAATTACCACACTAAAGAAACACCTCAATATCAACAAATATAGAATTATAAAATATCAACAACCTGTTTAAATTTGGTAAATTTGAAATTTTGATGGCAATGTCTTTGCTACTTCAGTGAAGATCATACATAAATCATGAACTACATTTAAATTATTAAATTAAATTATGGTGCACATATTTTTTTAAAGTGTGAAAGTGTGGATAAAATTAATCAAACTATTACTATTAGGAGCCAATCAGGGTGAAGGAAAAGTCAATGTCAAAGGTTACTGAGATATTTATTCAGGACCATTGGCTTGTGCCTTTACTATTTTACATTGGAAGACAATGATCTGTTGATAAGGCACTTACATCTGTTCTAATTTATAGTAATCAGTCGATTCAAATATACACTATAATACAAGAGAAAGCAACAAACAAACACTTAAAGTTAGTAAACAATGTAAGAGTAACAAAAGTAATTGCATTTTAACTATTTTACTTTATTTATACGTTTTTTTGTTTATTTGACCTAAAGTTCCTCAGTAATTAAATTTAAAAAAAATATATAAAGAGAATCAACCACAATTCTATACCTATAAATAACAGCAAATCTGGACAAGCTCATATATCTGTAATCTTTAAGGACTTCATTTCATCTTTAAGAAATTCAATATATATCTTTAATTTAGAGAAATTGAAATGAAAAACATCATAAAGCCTAATGATTTAAACAAACATAACAACCAAAGATGTTGCATGAATAAAAATATACAAATTTAACAGTAATTATGAAAAATAGGCGATTGCCCACAGCGTATTGGAATAAATTCAGTAACAGTAATATTTTATAGGAATGTTGCTTTCCAATAGGAAAATAAACCTTTAAATATATATAATAAAATATAAACAATCTTTAGAGATCAATTTTATGTAATATGATATATACATATTGCATAAGTAAACAGTAAGAATGGGCATATGCAAAATTACACAGGACAAGTTTGCAATAACATAATTAAGTTGTGATATATGACAAACAGTTTCTAGTATTTAGAGTAACTACAGTAAATAACATCTTGTAAATAATTTATTTTCCTCGCTGTCCTCTTTATATGAATAGTTATTGTAATACCCAAACTTAACTAAAGTACATACATCAGGCACTATATTACTGAAAGACATCACTAATAAGAATAGTTCGAATTCACCATGGCCTCCACGGCTTTTCGTCTTCAGAAGACATTTCATGGAAGTCCTTCTTGACAACCAAGGACAGAGGTGCTTGAGGAGGGCTGTAGGGCCTGAGGGGAGACTCCGGTCTGTCATAGGAGTTTGTGCTGGAGGTCGGACTGATTGGAGAGGGGAAACTCTGCTGGGAGTTCTCCAAGGGAGTGTTGGTGGAGGTGCTAACGGTCAACCTCTCAAAGGCCACAGGGGAAGACGAGGCAGACCCTGCAGAAGCTGTCCTGTTGGGGATGGGCAGCAGCAGAGGCAGGGGTGAGGAGGAGGTTGCAGAAGTGGAGGAAGGAGAGGGTGAAGTTGACGGAGTAGAAACTTGTCTCAGAATCTGTGTGCCAGAGGACGGAAGCACCAGAGCGATGTCTCCGTTAGGTAGTCTTGTAGGAACCAACTGTAGACCCGTGGTGTTACCCGTGCTGAAGAGTATGTTGGACGAGGTGACCTGGGTGTCCACGGCAGGAACAATATGTACTTGCACCCCCGTCAACTGTGGGGCAGCAGGCTGGGGCTCGGCGGGGGCAGGTGTAGACTCAGCAGGGGTGGAATTGTTGAGACAGTTGGCCAAATGTTGTAATAGCCTTCGTCTCACTGGAGGCTCTAGCCCTGGGAACCTTCCAACTTCTCCAGCACACTCGCTGAACCCAGCGCGGAACTTGTTGAGCACTTGGGGGTCGGTCGCAGCACTCATCGCCACCTGCTGCCGTTGCATGTTCTCTAGATGCTTCACGGTCATCTCCAGGATATCTGCCTTCTCCAACTTTGAGTGTCTGGCAGGCTGTAACATAAATATCCTCGTGAGTCCTCAACACTCAACTAACATAAAATGAAAAAGATTTAAGAGGGACGGAAAAAGAATTTGAAATATTTGTTTATAAAAAATAAGAACAGCTTCTTTGGCAAGAAACGGGGTCACAAATCAGGTTCTGTGGTTATCCAACAGGTTTCCTTACAAATGTGCAAAGTAGGAAATCTTTCCTCATAAACCAAATCTTTATTTGTTGGACGTGTAACTATATAAATCTTTCTGGAGTCCATCCTAAATATTTCCAAGAACATTTCCACAAATTTATGAAGGACGGTGGTAAATGTTTTGATGCATTTTACTGGCAGTCACTTCAGAGCTTTTTATGGGGCCAGTTTGTCATAAACTGCAAACTGGAAGATTGCATCTCCTTCTTGGGAGGCAGATTTCACTAAACATCATCTTACTTCTTAATGTTTACACCTGCCACTGTATATGTAATAAACCTTTGTTAGTAAGGACATCTTATTTGTCCATTTCATGTTAAATAGTAAAAAGTAAAATTAGAAAAAGTTTTGGGGGGAAATGTCTAGTAACTAGGTAGAGGGTTTTTATAAAAAGTTGGAATACAGTGTTCAACTTACGTCTTTTTTCATTGCATCCAAGATCAGGGACTTCAGTTCGTTCAAGCAGTTGTTTATCCTTGCTCGCCTCCTTTTCTCCATGATCGGCTTGTTACTCTGTAACAAAAAGAAAGCGAAATAAAAATGTGCTCATGCCATGAAAAACAACTTAACATAATTTATAAAGAATATCAACGCCTAGATACCAATTAAAACGGCTATAACAATAGCGACAGATTTATAGGCGTGGTTATCGTTTTCATTTCTTCGGCGTCGGAAGACCATCAGAACTGTAAATTTATGACAGTCGATCGTCATAAAGCAGCCGGTCGCTCGAACGGGTTCCGAATCGGAAGACCTACGGTTCTGGAACGCCGCGAGACCTTTGTTTTAGTTTTTCCATCTCGGTAATTTATGAGACAATAAAGGTTCTGGGACCAACTGGTTTGGTCTGGGTTACTTAACGAATGATCCCGGTCGAGTTTCGGCCACTTTGAGCCGGACTTGTAGCAATTTGTTGATAGGGAATGTCCTATTGTGAAGACGGAATGTCGTTCGAACTCGTGGCTTCGAAACAATTCAAGCTATTCTCGTATACGTGAACTTTCGAACGGATGCCGTTGGTAAAAACTGACAGATAGCTTGAATATTTCCTTCCCATTGAAAACAAAGGCCTCTAAACGGTTCAGTAGCACCCATCTGGGACAGCAACACAACAGCGTATTACTCCGCCAGTTTAACGACAAAAGTTGCAACCTTTATCTTTATTACGGTGTGATAAGGCCTCGACGCGCCATCTTTGCAAGTAACTGCTTCCTCTATGACCGTCAGTTGCACTGCGCTTGCAGCTGCGTCACTGAATAATCTGCACAGGTGCATACAGTAGTTGAGTTGGTGTGGTGATTTTACCACCAAAACATATTGCAGTCTATTACAGTTAGGCTACATGAAGTTGAAGTTATAAGTTATAACATATTTGAAGAAGCACGTCGGACGATTAACCAACAATTGGTGCACTTCAGGTAGGAGTGCAACACCTTGGCCGCGATACGGAGTGACGAGTCTTGAGCGCTGAAGCGGAAAAGTCATAATCAACCGAACGGTTCTCCTTCAACAGAGGTCGTCGATGATCAAACACAAGGAATTATAAAATTAAATGGACAAATATGGGATTCCTTCTATGGACATAATCGTTCTCTAAAATCTTATCCACATTTCCTAAAACATATTCTACTGGCGAGTATCAATTACAATCAATCGAGAAGAAATCTGAGACAAAAAACTCTGTTTGAAAAAGTAAAAATTATAAATTCAAAACTCCAAGTGAGGCTAAACTGTGGTGTTTTGTCCCTTGCAATACGTCAAGATGATTTATCGCGAAGTTAGTCTCTGTTTCAAGCCTATATACGTCTCCGGACACGTCGCACAGATCTGAGATAAGATCCCTGATACGACCAAAACCGGAAACACACCGCGGGGATGGACCATCCTGATGAATTAGAGATCATCTCCGGAGTCTGAATCATCAAAATTTATGATTCTGACATTTCTTTTGAGTCAGAGTATTTATAGAGCAAAAAGGTATTTGATTTTAAATGCAGGCTCAAGTTTCTTTTCAGAATTTTGCTCATATGGATCAAGATCATTGGTTGACAATATGGCTCGCCTTTCAAGATACTTTATGGAACTTTCGAATATCAAACCTATTTCGTAAACTTCCTCAATCCCGGAGTACTTGATGGCAGTATCTCCAAAATGTCGTTAATTGATTATAAGTTACAAATAAGGGGAAGAATACTAGTTAACAGACTTGTTGATTATTATAAACTCTAGTGGACCCTTCACTGAGATTCTGGACAGAACATTTTACTTATGAAAAGCCCCTTAGAGAAGGGGACACAACAAAAGTGTATTACCCAAGTATGATAACAATGAGTGAGGGATGGAGAATTAGAGGTGTCTTTAGTTAGAACCATTTTTTTAAACTTCTACTGATACAAATTAAACCCTAGTCGACTACCAGGTCCGCTTTCAAACCAATTTTCTCAGTCCAGCCCTTTTCGCTCCACATAAACGCCACAATTGAATTCAAGAAAAACAAAAACAACGCAAAGAACATCAGGGAACATTCCCCAGTCGCAGAACACGAACGATGCGCAGGTGTGAGAACAAGAGGCTCAAATCGTTCACAGGGACGAGGAAGCGCTGTAGTTGCCGGGAAAGTTCCCACCACAATTTCACGCGTGTTGACGCCGTCCACGACTCGCGACTGCGACTCAAGGTCAAACCGCTCTGTTGGCGATAGTCGTAATTGGGAATACAAACACGGATACACCATTACTAGACAATGACTGCAAGACAGGTGCGGTGGTGACATGAGTAGTTTCATCGGGAGCGGACTTGGATGACATTGGTTTAAGTGTGAAATGATATTTTCTTCTATGTATAGTTTGAATGTCTTAAATCGCTGACAACTTATTTATTGGTACGATGAATATCCATTCTTGATTTCATAGTTAAGTTTTAAACTGTATCTCATCTGTCGACTACTTGGACGTTCACACAAAGGTGATAATCTGTAGGGGTGCAATCACACAAGCAGTTTTTAGTTTAAGGTCTACTTATTTTGTTTCATTTTTTTTTCTTACTTATTTTTTAACCATGGACGATGCACCAAAAATAGTCAATCATCAATGTAAAACTATCAAAGTAAAAATAAACTCAACATTCCATGAGAAACCGTTTAACAGAATGAGCAAACCCGAATCTCAATATAATTTAAAATTAGTAACCACAGTTAAACGCTTAATTGAGTCCTAAACGAGATTATATTAGTTATGATTGTGCTTATGTAAAAACACTAGCCTACTTAGTAATTGTTATTATCTAGTATCGTGCAGATGCAAATGTGTTGGGTCATGAGTTAAAGATAGTCATACACTCTTTTCGGAATGAAACTACAGTATTCGTCTTATAAATCAGTCTGAAAATATTTACGTTAAATACATGTCTTAATAGTTAGACAATACTGTAATTGTTTTATACATTGATCCACTAGTTGACAACCAGGTAGTTTCGTCATCGGTACGAAATTAAAACAGTATGTAGCAACAAGTGGGTGAAGCAACCAACTAGTTGTGCAAATCAAACACCCGGAAGTCGCACAAAACAGCTGATGACAACAATACGATGACCAAGGTTACCGACGCACTTCCGGTACCGCGTGTCGCACCGGATATGCCTAATTGCGCTCTAACTATACGGACTACGACATAAATTTAGTCACTGTTTGTTAGTATTTCTAGCTCAGTGTATTAGAGTTGACTTTATGAATAAGTTATAGTTGTAATTGTTCGCGTAAATTATGCAATAGTATTAAAAGTACGGTAATTTTGAAAAAAAAGAACAGTTTTGTGTAAGGGCTCAAGCAGAGGTTCGCCCTGGCGGGGTTTAACTGAACTGCAACAATGCAACCGCTACTGGAAGTTCTAGCACCCTCCGATTGGTAGCGCTGATGTTCATTGTCCAACACACCTTAGATCAGTTGTTATTTAGGTTAACCGGTAATTTTGACAAATTACATAGAGAATGGTAAATTTTCATACACGTGCAAGGAAAAATTTTAGGATAGTCAACAATCTATTTATCCGTTGTCGGTTCGTCAGTTACCGCGTCAATAGGCTTCATTGGCTTTAATATAATTAACATGTCGGTCATGAAATGACTACGTTATTGTAAGAGGCTCTACCAGCCTTCACATTCCACAGTTGGAGTTGATATATATTAACAACGCAATTTTTCCACACGCTCTTGAACCAATACAAAAAGATGTGTTAAGAAATACATTCGCACAACAAACAGCATAAATGCTGGTAATGAAATTTTAAAACACTATCAATAATAAGAGGGAGAGAACTTAACAGCATTGAAATCGTGCTTGTAAAGTTTATATTGTTGCAACATATAATGATAGGACGAAACTCAATTTTTGAACGTACCAACATAGCAGTTTAATTACTTTGTGACACATTAAAGTATTGGACCAATTACAATACTGTCTCATAGTGATTGTCTACATTTTAAAACTCATAAAGCCCGAATATTGTTAATAGTTTTACGAATCATGCGAAAAATCAACTAGGCATGGGTATTTGAATCAATCAGCCTACATATCTCGTACAATATTCCCCTCAAATTATAGTGGCATGCATGAACTCGTGCCAGAAGGATGCCGCAGTGTCCGTGTCGTCGCCGCATACTCTTCACTCTCCCACGGCCATCGGGGCCAATTGGACCAAATTAGACTTGATACATCGACCAATCAACTAGTTTAGTCATCGAACAGTGGACCGGGTGGCGTGTTTGGGAATTCGTTTAATGTACCAAAGTCGGAAAGACAAATTTTGCTAAGCGGGCAGCCTACACTGATTCATTAAGTCAATAACCGGTCTCCTCGCATTATAAATGTCACAGATTATAGAGCTACATTATGTTAATAATATTGATAGAACTTAAAAAATATTATCAACATTTTATTAAACCTCAACATTAGAAGGAGTGAAATACAGTCTAACCTTGATATAACGAACCTCGATATAACGAATTCCTTGATATAACGAATTTTTTTTAATCCCCTAGAACTCTCCATAAGACACAATGTATATTTTACCTCTACATAACGAACAAACCATATCAACGACCTTGATTTAACGAATTTTTCATGATCCCGGCTAAAATAAGACACCTCAATATAACGAATTTATCATTGTCAGAACCTCTACATAGCGAATTTAACCTCTACTTAACGAATTGTCTACGTTTCTCCCTCGATACAACGAACCCCCCACCCCCATTATTGTTTTTGAAAAATCAGTTTCTTCATCACATGAAATGGAAAGGTGACGTCAACGACTGCGCCAACATTCGTCTGCTCCGTTTTACATGGTTTTGGGTTTTACACATCCCTGTCTGCTATCGTCGCTGCACGCTTTGATACAGCTGAGAACTGATTTCATTCACTTAGGACTGACGACGTAATGTTTGATGTTTAGTAAGCTGTGATTGGGTGATAAGTAAATACTGTATGGTGAATTGTACAATTTTTGGATGAAGAGAAACCTAAGAAAGAAAAAGAATAGAAGAACAAAGCAAAGAGAAAGAATAGCAACATTGTTATCTTAACATTCCTTGTACAAGTGTTTTTATTATCTTTAAGTTGGCTATAATTATACACTTTTATAACGACTTATCTAATATTTTTATTATTTTCAATAAGATTTTTTGAAACTAAGGCAACATCAATGCTACATTTGATGATTTATTACAGTATTGACATTCCTCTGTTGTGATTTAAATCAGTACTGTAGGCTACTGTAACTAGCCTACCGGCCTATCACGAGCAGTAGCTTACAAAACTCTTTCTGTTTTGTTTGGTTCTTTACGTGGTTTATTGCTATACAATACAGTGTTTGGCTAGGTTTTAGGTGGGTTAGAGAAAGCTGTGATTTTAAACTTACAGTTTGTAACCTGTACCATTGACTAAGGAAACAAATCCTTTGTTTCCCTTGTCTGTGCCTGTACCAAGGTCAATGACTAGAAATGTCATGATTGCACAATATTAAAGATCCCTTCCCTTTATTACTCTGGATAATCGACGTTCTATTTTACAATGTAAACACTATACTGTAAAGTATTGTAGCCTATGCTACTTTAATTTTTTTTTATAAGGTCCAATCCCGACCTATATTGACTGATGCTGGTTCTGAACCTCGACTTAGCGAAATTCCTTCAAACCTAACCTCAATATAACGAACCTCACTTAAACGAAATCCTTGATATAACGAATATTCAGTTCGGTCCCTTCAGATTCGTTATACTGAGGTTGGACTGTAATACTACAATTTCACTGCAGTAGTATCTCATCTTTTACTCGTTTACGGCATGTAACACAGTTAGCGACGGTTGTCACATTAACTATTAGTCATCGTTGACAACAAGATAAGCAAATACAAACATATTCATTGGTCCAATCGTTCGATCACGACGCAATTGAAAAATATTCTAAGTATATTTCTACATATTATTTGCAATTTTGTCAGTAGCACATTGTTTTTTTGTAAAACAATCTACCAGGAGGGTCTACTTACAGCAAAAAATGTCCATATATAATAATGAACAATAAGTTAGAGATGAACTAGACCGTCCAAAAATTCGTACAAATTTCAGATACTATTAAAAAATTTAATATTATATGGCAGGAGTTAGGCATTACAAATCTAATTAAGAAATTGACTCACCCTCCTACTCTCCGCCGGTCGCCTCGTGGTGGTATCCGCCTGAGGGGATGAAGAGGGTGCGGCGACAGGTCCGCCGGTAACCATGGTGACGCGCACTGACAACTTCACACTACGACGGTCACACGCTGACTGAGGCGCGGAGAGGGGGAAGTCTCGTGGCTCGCCGCCCCTCCCCTACAACGTATTGTTGTGGTGGGGGGTCGCGCGCGCCTCTCTCTCCCTCCCCTCCACCTGCCCACGCGACCCGCTCAAATCACGCACATCCGCCGCCTCCGCGCTAGGAATGTGTGCATTTTCGTTGCACTTGCTCCGCTTCATTATTTAGCTGATTGGTGCTGGAATTATGTTTTTGTTCTGTGTTGTTTGTGAAAGTAGGCTGATGTTCCAATATTTTCTTTATAGGGAGCATAGCTTCGTCCTTCTAAAATGCACCAGTAGTGGGTATCTAATGATGGACGAACTTGTAATCCTGTATTTGTTAGAAACTGATTTTCTACCGGTTTAAACTATTGTAACAAACAATATTAAGAGACGAAGAAAAAATTACATGGCTAGGAAAACGACTTTTACATCATATGAATCTATGTGTTTTAAGTACAGTTTTTAAAGCTATATATCCGATGAATGAGTGTGGAACAACAGAAATGCATTCGAACAAAACCAGCTGTTCATTTAGCGTTCCAGGGACGATTACAGTAACTTAATGATCAAGGAAAGGCGGGTCAAGTATCAAACCATCAAAAGCCATCATCTCCTATAGATGCGACTGCAAAATATAGTGAAGGTTATCCATTGATACTGTACACAAACCTTTTTTTTACATAGTATGTACATTGGTTTATACTTGGTGTATTCTCACATTGGAATCATTGTAGGGAAATGACGGATTCTCGTTTGCATCGTCATTTGAGGAAATACATTTTTATTTGGTTTTAATTAGTAAACCTACCACACATAAACGTGTATGCTTAATAAACCGTTACGCCACAATGTTTAGAAGTGGTGCAAAAAACATCGAATACTCTAGTCTTGATTCCACTGACATTTTATGAAGGGGCGCCAATACAGCCCTTCCCGCCAATACTTCCGCCCGCGTCGTGCCGTCGCATCTCTCTACACACAAGCACACGTCTCCTCTTAGCCGCGCATCAATAGCTTGTTTAAACTTTTGTTGTAAAACATTCCACCAATGTGGATACTCGGAACCCTTTACAGCCTGTGAGGCCCCACCTGGCCTTCCTACCTACCTCTGTCTCAACACTTCACCCAGGCATTGTGCTGCGCTACCGCTCAGAAACTACTTTACCTCAAAGAAAGGAAAAGAACCCAGGGGTCATGCAACTCTAGCCTCCAAATGTATAGGGTTGTTGTACTCATTAATATATGTGGGTAAAAATCATTGACTTTGTAGATTGATTGTGTATATATAACGTCGATGGTAAAATACTACTGTTTTGATATGTTACAGCCAGCGATCACATAAGACCAATGTCACAATCAGCCTATACAAAGGATAAGGTGGTGAGGAAGGAATGATCTGTTACTCTGTTGGTCTGTGCTATACTCGTTAGATGGCTTTTAGTATTAGTTGGGAGTAAAATAGCCAACACAGCGTAAGTTCTCCCTATTGGCATTTTTACCGGCTTCTGAATGTGTTCTCATCAGGTGATCAACAGCCTAAATGGACTCTAAACAGTTAACTGTGTTATCATAGTTAAAAGCCATTCACTCAGGCGCTTGGTGGGTTTTGGATAACGACTTCCAGTAAAAAAGTTACGCTCTCTTAACCACCACAAGGACAATGAATTGTTTGACAAAAATGTGACAAATTGTAAGAAATTGGACTGCAGCTATATTGATCTTTAGCTTCGGCAGCACATATTGTCTTTAAAAAAAGAGGATAGTCTGAGATCGGCCAACAAAACATTTCTGTCGCGCACAGCGTGGCGGCACTGGCCTCGCACTCTCATTTGTATCAATGAAATGGTCATTTGAAAATTGTGGTGAGCTTCCGGAGCAGTACGGCACTGTCCTGATACACGCTAATCTCTACTTATAATAAAGATCTAAATGATCCGTAACTTTTCTTCTCTAGTTTACGAGTATATTTAAACAATCAGTGTCCTATTTACTGTACACTGCGTTGAAATTTCTCTTAAATACTTTTGTACAGATAAACATTTGTCTATAATTGCGTACATTCATATATCCTACAATTGTGAGCCATAATGATTGACGGATAGTTTTGTCTATATAGGCCAACTCCCATATACACTAGGTGTACTTGAAAATAATTGTTTAAAATTTAATATTCCTATTCAGTGTATACTGTATACCTAATTTTCAATCGCGAAGTTTGCCAACAGTGAAGCACTACTTGTATCACATGATTTAGAGTTTTCTTTCTATGCAGATTATAAGTAAACATAATCCCTACTGTGGTAGGACAGCGAGGTTTATTGGAAATATGGAATATTATATTCCTCCCCTCCCATAAAGATGTAGGAATTTGAATTTGAAAATACAACTACGCATTCCATACTCTTCTGGTATATTTCTATGAGTTTGCCAATCAAAAGCTTTATGAATAATTACGTTGCCCACATATTTTATATCGTGAAATACAGAGAAGGGGAGTTCTCCTTGAGAGAAGGAGTATTTCATAACTTCTTCGATATTCAAGAATTCCTTGGAGGAATTTTACTGGTCAAAGCTCGGACTTCTTACTCTATTAATTCTTCTTTGAGATCGCTAATCGTTTGAAGACAATCAAAATAGCGGTTCAACGAAACTATGGTTTTTTCGCCCTCACTTCCTCCGACTCATCCCTGGACCGTTACGCATCTGTCAGCCCCAGGAAGCCGTCCTAACAGTGCAGCAGAGGAGGCAAGAAGGCGCAATGTTTCGCCAAAGGACGTAATTCTACCTGTAACATGTTCCACAGGAAGCACCTGTGATCTTACCCGGGGATGAGAGTGGTTCGCACCGTACGATTTTTTACACTTTCCGTCCCTGCAGCCCCTAACTGCTAACTGCACCCGCCGGATGTAACGGTATTGTTTTTGTGCCTCACTTTCTCTGGTCGATACAGGTCGAAATCTATTTTGGGAACCTTGGAAACTGTGATTGTTTGGGAGAAACAATTATTTTCAGCCAACTTTTATGTAGCACAGTAGCATTATGTAGTTTTTTTGGCAATCCAATTGGCTATGCCTAAGTACTAAAAACTGGGTGGATAAAAAAAAATCTATTTCAACGAAAGGTCGATATGCTTATAAACTCGTTACTCGACATGTACAAAGAGCCTTGAGAATTAAATCTTTTTATGGTTTTACTTGAAAATTTTAATTAACTATAATATTGCGTGTGATTTTTAGCGTTTACTGTACAAATATCTTTTCCTACAGTCCCCTGACAAAATTGCCTTCCTTGCACTGATTATTAACTCTGATTATAGCACAGAAAGTTGCTAATTGCTGCATCTATAGTATCTATTAATGGTTTTAATGTATTCGTTTTATATACTATAGAAGAAAAATGGTTTAAAGTTTGTCCCAATTTTTCAGGTGACCTTCTGAACTAGGACCACAAAAACTTTGACATTTAGGGAATTTTTTAGTTCTTACTTACGTAAATGCCATCTATTCTACAGAGAAAACACATCTTAGAGGAAAAGTAGAATACAACATTTCGCATTCATTGAGTACGAGGTGATGAAAATAACATCAATGATAAGTGAAAACAAATACACCTATGTACAACTAATATTTATTTTAAAAGGGTAACCTAATTTAGGCCTGGAACATGTTTCAAAGTGCAAAACCAAAAATGTTCAATGAATGTCTAAATAGTATATTACATTCTACATTATTCAGATTTTAATTTCTTATCTAATCCCTCACATATTATTGGAAAGCATTGTCCATCTTCTGCTAAATCGAGCAACCACCTTTCTCGCTATTTACCCTCCTGGTGAACAGTTCTAATGCCCCAACCGTCTCCACGGCATAGTCTTGGTCTATATTCGGCGATGCTTTCTCGATTTCCTAGAAGTGTGGACGTCAACGGCAGCCAGTCGCCACATTGGTCAATAGGTTCGTTCTCTCGTGTTAGAATTCCCTAATTCCGTCTGATGGTGACACTAGTTAGCGACATCACCGGCAGCGACACTTGTTCTACAAATAGTTTTGAGTGTAAAAGTGTCTTGGAACGGGAAAACAACATTTCTGCTAGTGAGTTGAGTCAATTAGTTAGGTTTGCACACTTCAAAAACAATTGCCTTTTAAAACGCTCTTAAATATTTGGTAACAATATTGTCTACTAGTTCGGGTTTACTGTGCTAAACTAGTCAACACGATCAAGAAAAAACGTTCTCTAAGAACGATCATAAAGGAGTGTTGGTAGATTCTGTAAATAATCTGTAAATTGACTTACAAACTAAATTGCTTACCGTTGGAGTCAATTAGTAATAGAAACAACACAAAATCTTATTTAGTTGGGACCCACACACAAGACAAAATCGCACACACGTTTCAAACACTCTTGGGATCATTATGTATGTAAGTGTGTTATGTAAGTGCAGTTGATAAGCCGGGAGAAAATAGTTACCTTCGTCAATAACAAACACTTTACAGTATTATATTAATTAGGCTCTGGAAAAAGTCATTTACCAGATTACATTTTTCCGCACGTTTAATACACTATGCACAATGCACACAACGTTCCATAATATACAAACAAACTACTGTAACAATTTCTTTATTTTACCCTCAATTTTTCAGAATCTCATACAATATTTTTCTTTAACCAGGGAAGGGTCAGCTTTCAGAGAAATCAACACCACAAATGGAGTAGAGGAATTTTGTTTGATTTAATTTGTAACCTGACCCTAGCAGATGACCCAGTGGGCAGCGCTACTGGTCCAGCGTGTTAGAGATTAGTGTTGGTCACCTGTTTTCTATAACCGCACTGAGGAAGTGAGAAGATACCACACTGACCAACAACCACCATCTCAGCTGCGTAGTTCGGTAGCACTGAAGCCTGCTGAAAAAAAAAACAAAGGGCGATCAATGTGATTCATTAACATGCAGACCACATTCA